TGCAAAAGGGAGATGAAAAAAGGAAGGGCCAGATGGGATGAGCAGGGAAGCAGATCAGGCTTCGGTATTGGAAAAGGCATACAGTGTGAGAAAGGAAAATTGAATAATGTGAGTGATAAATGGAATTAAGTGGGGAAGAGAAGGATGAAGAGATTGAGTAAAGAGAGGAGAGTGAAGTTGGAATAGGGATGGTCAGACTGAACAGAGAGTGGAGAAAGCAAGGACGGAGTGCAAAATTATATAAGACAAGGAAGATAAGGGGGAATGAAAATGAATGTATATTGTAAAGGTAGATGAGATGAAACTATATATATACAATGTGGTAGGTAGATGAGATGAAACTATATATATATACTGTGGTAGGTAGATGAGATGAAACTATATATATATACTGTGATAGGTAGATGAGATGAAACTAGATTGAGAGAAAGTAAAATAAATCTGTCAACCATGGATTGCCGATGCCATAGTCATCTCAACTGCTACGTGGGGTGGTTTGTGAGTAATTGTGTTCACCTAATATCACAATGAATGCAAAGAGTCCTTTTTTATGTAAAATGATAAGTAAGAAAAACCTTGATTGTAATTGTATTATTAATCAGTTAATATCTTTAAAAAAGTTGTTTTATATTTAATGCTTTTGTGATATTATCTGCATTGGCTCTTTAAATGTACAGAGGGGTAGAAAAGGTTATGGATCCCTCCTCGTTTTATGATTACGGCAAATGAGAAAAGAGGAGATGGAGTACAAAGGAGGATTCAAGGGACATGCTGTTACATTTGAAAAAGCCCCAGTAAGTGCAAAATGCACAGTGTGATGTTACACAACGTTATGGTCTGAAGGCTGTGTCGAAAACCCTGCACAATCTGTTCAACTCGATAAATGAGCACAGATCTAGGACTGATGTGGTGAATATGGTTATTTTAAACTTTAATAAAAGAGTGGTTATAATGTTTTAATAAACTTGTAAGCTTTTATTGATATTTTGTGACCTCGCTTTCTGCTATTTATAGGTTCCGTACATGCAACACCTGAGATCTACAAAAAATATTATCTTTTATTTGAAACTCCCAGAGCTTAAAAGGATTTTATAGTATAAGGAATATAAATCTTTATTCCTCACACTTTAGAGCCATCTGCCCACCACCCCCTTAATCCCCCACTCTTCCCCTGCTGCCACCAATAAGGGATGAAAAAAACTTTTAGTCTCTTACCCGATTCCAGCGAAAATGTTCTCAGTGCTTTGTCAGCTCTCCACTACCTCCGACATCGTCTGATGGAGGGAGAGGTAATGCGCATGTGCAGTGAGCGCTGCAAGCGCATTATGCCTTCTCCATAGGAAATCATTGCCTCACTGCCTTCCTAATTATTATTATTATTATTATTATCATTTATATAGCGCCAACAGATTCCGTAGCGCTTTACAATATTTTGAGAGGGGGTATGTAACAATAAATAGGACAATTAAAAGAAAACTTACAGGAACAATAGGTTGAAGAGGACCCTGCTCAAATGAGCTTACAGACTATAGGAGGTGAGGTATTAGAAACATTAGGGCAAGAAATATCAAGTAGGAGTGAAGCAGAGCTGGAGGAGAGAGCAAAGCACTGTCCCATAGGAGAGAGCAGGAGACAGGTATGTAAGGTAGAGATTTCTCTGGGAGGCCATAAGCTTTCCTGAAGAGATGGGTTTTAAGGCCCTTCTTAAATGATTGAAGAGTAGGGGAGAGTCACCGGCGAGAGGTCCTGCAAGCGCGAGTTGGCCATACGGGTGCGAGCAGCGGTCAGGAGGTGGTCACGGGCAGAGCGGAGGGTACGAGGAGGGGCATATCTATGGATTAGTGAAGAGATATAAGTGGGGCTAGAATTGTTCAGTGCTTTAAATGTATGGGTTAGCACTTTGAATTGACTCCTATAGCATACAGGGAGCCAATGTAAGGACTGGTAGAGGGGTGAGGTGTGAGAGGACCGACTAGAGAGGAAAATCAGTCTAGCTGCAGCATTCATTACAGACTGTAGCGGGGCAATACGGCTTTTGGGGAGACCAATCAGGAGAGGGTTACAGTAATCCATGCGGGAAATTACTAGAGCATGGACAAGCCCCTTGGTAGCATCTTGCGTAAGAAAGGGGCGAATGCGGGCTATGTTTTTGAGTTGGAACCTACAGGACTTGGCAACAAACTGGATGTGAGGCTCAAAGGTGAGACCAGAGTCAAGTATGATGCCAAGACAGCACGCTTGCAGGGATGGACTTATGTGGATATCACTGAGTTGAAGGGAGAGCGAGAGAGGAGGATCAATATTAGGAGGAGGAAAGACAAGGAGTTCAGTTTTAGAGAGGTTAAGTTTCAGAAAGCGTGAGGACATCCAGTCAGAGATGGAAGAAAGGCAAGCAGTGACATGTTGCAGGACGGCAGGGAAGAGGTCCGGGGAGGAGAGGTATATCTGAGTGTCATCAGCGTACAGGTGGTAGTGGAATCCAAAAGAGGCAATAAGTTTACCAAGAGAGGCAGTATAAAGAGTAAATAGAAGGGGACCAAGGACAGACCCTTGGGGAACTCCAACCGAGACAGGACGAGGGGAGGAGGTATCCTTGGAAAAGGAGACACTGAATGAGCGTTGGGAGAGATAGAAGGAAAACCAAGAGAGGACAGAGTCACAGAGACCGAGCGATTGAAGAGTTTGAAGGAGGAGAGCATGATCAACGGTGTCAAAGGCAGCAGAGAGGTCAATGAGAATTAATATGGAGTAGTGACCTTTGGATTTAGCGGAGATTAGGTCATTAGTCACTTTTATAAGAGCAGTCTCAGTAGAGTGGAGAGGGCGGAAGCCAGACTGAAGAGGGTCAAGGAGAGAGTTGGAATTAAGGAAGCGAGACACACAGGTAAAGACAAGTCTTTCCAAAAGCTTTGATGAGAAAGGGAGCAGGGATATGGGACGATAGTTAGAAGGGGAGGATGGGCCAAGGGATGTTTTTTTCAGGATAGGTATTACAGTGGCATGTTTAAGGTCAGCAGGAACAGTGCCAGAAGAGAGAGAGCAGTTAAAGATGTGTGTTAGGGTAGGCACAAGACAAGGGGGGAGAGATCTGATGAGGTGAGATGGGACAGGATCGAGCGGGCAAGTGGTGGGGCGAGAGGAATGGAGAAGCGCAGCCACCTCTTGTTCAGTAGCCGGGTAGAAAGTCTGGAGGGTAGGGAAAGCAAGATTTACATGTGGTTGAGAAAGAGAGCGGCAAGGAGGGGAGAATTGTTTCCTTAGCTGTTCAATCTTGTCGGTAAAGTAGCATGCAAAGCTATCAGCTGTAAGGTTAGTTTGGGGGGTGGCCACAGCAGGGCGGAGAAGGGAATTAAAGGTGTCAAAGAGACGTCTGGGATTGCGGGAGCATGAACTAATGAGAGAGGAAAAGTATGATTGTTTGGCGAGGGCGAGGGCTGCGCTGTATGAAAGCAACATGAATCTATAATGGAGAAAGTCTGCCTAGCTGCGGGACTTCCTCCAGCACAACGGGAGCAACTCTGCAGATAGCGTGTTGATTTATTATGCCAAGGTTGGGGACGTGTCCTCCTCGAGGTGCATGTTTTGAGAGGGGCTGCAGCGTTCAAGGCAGATGTGAGGGTAGTGTTATATGTGGAGATGGCCAGTGAGGGACAGGAGAGGGAAGGGATGGATAGCAGTTGTGAATCAATATCAGCTGACAGCTGCTGGAGGTCAATAGAGTTAAGGTTCCTCCTGAGCTGAGGGGGGTTAGGCTGAGATTGTTGGGTGAGGGGGTAATTGAGAGCAAACGATAAGAGGTGGTGATCAGAGAGAGGAAATGGAGCGTTGCAGATATTAGATATTGTACATGAATAAGAGAAGATAAGGTCGAGGGTATTGCCAGCTACATGAGTGGGAGAATTAGCCCACTGCGAAAGTCCAAGGGAGGAAGTGATTGAAAGAAGTTTAGAGGCTGCTGGGGTTAAAGGTGGGTTAACGGGAATATTGAAGTCTCCAAGAATTAGGGATGGGATGTTGGAAGAGAGGAAGTAGGGTAGCCAGGCAGCAAAGTGGTCAAGGAAGAGGAGAGGGGAACCAGGGGTACGATAGATTACGGCAATGTTAGCAGAGAAGGGTTTGAAAAGGCGAATTGAATGAATTTCAAATGATGGGAAAGAGAGGGAAGGGGGGGTGGACAGGGTTTTAAAGGAGCAGTGGGGTGAGAGAAGAAAACCTACACCGCCACCTTTAATCTCTGTTTGTCTTGGATTGTGGGTAAAGTGAAGACCACCAAAAGACAGTGAGGCAGGTGTAGCAGTATCAGAGGGAGAGAGCCATGTTTCTGTTAGTGCAAGTAGGCTTAGGGAATGTGAGATAAATAGGTCATGGATGGAAGTAGATTTAAAGGTGCTGCACACAGAGCGTGCATTCCAGAGGGCAGCTTTAAAAGAGGAATTATAGTGAGAATTACATGGAATGGGTATTAGGTTGTTGTGGTTTCTGGTGTTTGTACCAGGTGGCTGAGAAGAGGAGGGACCAGGGTTTGGAGAGACATCACCTGCTGCTAGGAGTAGTAGGATGGAAAGGAAGAGAAGGTGGGAGTAAGATTTAAATGTTGGGGATGGGAGCTTGTATTTAGGGGATTTAGGAGGGGTGTGTGGAGAGAGGCTGGATAAATATGAGTAAAGTGCATGTGATGAATACAGAGATGAGGGGAGCAGAGAGGGAGCAATGAAGATGGTGTTAGCAGGAACAGGTAAGTAAAATGATAGAGAGATTTTAATGATGAGGGAAGTGAGAGAGAAAGTGAAAAATAGAAGTGAGAACATTAGTAGGAGAGTAGGTGCTGTATTTTTAAGAGCTGTGGTTAGGAGGGTTAAGGGTTAAAGAGGTATTGTGTGAGTATAGCTATTTTGGGTGTGGAGGGCTTGGTGGACAGAGGCTAATATAATTGGTTTAACAGGAAAGGTAGGTAATTTGAGCTATCTATAAATGTAGTGATTACCATGGGGAGGGTGGGTGGGAAGCGATCATCCAGAAATGCTACCTCTGCTTATGGCAAGTCCTGCAGGGTTGTGTGCTGGGAGTCCTGGGTGTAGCTGATTCAATATTGTATGGGGCCCAAGCTCTGCTTATGGCAAGTCCTGCAGGGTTGTGTGCTGGGAGTCCTGGGTGTAGCTGATTCAATATTGTATGGGGCCCAGGCTCTGCTTATGGCAAGTCCTGCAGGGTTGTGTGCTGGGAGTCCTGGGTGTAGCTGATTCAATATTGTATGGAGCCCAGGCTCTGCTTATGGCAAGTCCTGCAGGGTTGTGTGCTGGGAGTCCTGGGTGTAGCTGATTCAATATTGTATGGGGCCCAGGCTCTGCTTATGGCAAGTCCTGCAGGGTTGTGTGCTGGGAGTCCTGGGTGTAGCTGTTTCAATATTGTATGGGGCCCAAGCTCTGCTTATGGCAAGTCCTGCAGGGTTGTGTGCTGTGAGTCCTGGGTGTAGCTGATTCAATATTGCATGGGGCCCAAGCTCTGCTTATGGCAAGTCCTGCAGGGTTGTGTGCTGGGAGTCCTGGGTGTAGCTGATTCAATATTGTATGGGGCCCAGGCTATGCTTATGGCAAGTCCTGCAGGGTTGTGTGCTGTGAGTCCTGGGTGTAGCTGTTTCAATATTGTATGGGGCCCAAGCTCTGCTTATGGCAAGTCCTGCAGGGTTGTGTGCTGGGAGTCCTGGGTGTAGCTGTTTCAATATTGCATGGGGCCCAGGCTATGCTTATGGCGAGTCCTGCAGGGTTGTGTGCTGGGAGTCCTGGGTGTACCTGTTTCAATATTGTATGGGGCCCAAGCTCTGCTTATGGCAAGTCCTGCAGGGTTGTGTGCTGTGAGTCCTGGGTGTAGCTGTTTCAATATTGTATGGGGCCCAGGCTCTGCTTATGGCAAGTCCTGCAGGGTTGTGTGCTGTGAGTCCTGGGTGTAGCTGTTTCAATATTGTATGGGGCCCAAGCTCTGCTTATGGCAAGTCCTGCAGGGTTGTGTGCTGGGAGTCCTGGGTGTAGCTGTTTCAATATTGCATGGGGCCCAGGCTATGCTTATGGCAAGTCCTGCAGGGTTGTGTGCTGGGAGTCCTGGGTGTAGCTGTTTCAATATTGTATGGGGCCCAAGCTCTGCTTATGGCAAGTCCTGCAGGGTTGTGTGCTGTGAGTCCTGGGTGTAGCTGATTCAATATTGCATGGGGCCCAAGCTCTGCTTATGGCAAGTCCTGCAGGGTTGTGTGCTGGGAGTCCTGGGTGTAGCTGATTCAATATTGTATGGGGCCCAGGCTATGCTTATGGCAAGTCCTGCAGGGTTGTGTGCTGTGAGTCCTGGGTGTAGCTGTTTCAATATTGTATGGGGCCCAAGCTCTGCTTATGGCAAGTCCTGCAGGGTTGTGTGCTGGGAGTCCTGGGTGTAGCTGTTTCAATATTGTATGGGGCCCAAGCTCTGCTTATGGCAAGTCCTGCAGGGTTGTGTGCTGGGAGTCCTGGGTGTAGCTGTTTCAATATTGCATGGGGCCCAGGCTATGCTTATGGCAAGTCCTGCAGGGTTGTGTGCTGGGAGTCCTGGGTGTACCTGTTTCAATATTGTATGGGGCCCAAGCTCTGCTTATGGCAAGTCCTGCATGGTTGTGTGCTGTGAGTCCTGGGTGTAGCTGTTTCAATATTGTATGGGGCCCAGGCTATGCTTATGGCAAGTCCTGCAGGGTTGTGTGCTGTGAGTCCTGGGTGTAGCTGTTTCAATATTGCATGGGGCCCAGGCTCTGCTTATGGCAAGTCCTGCAGGGTTGTGTGCTGGGAGTCCTGGGTGTAGCTGTTTCAATATTGTATGGGGCCCAGGCTCTGCTTATGGCAAGTCCTGCAGGGTTGTGTGCTGTGAGTCCTGGGTGTAGCTGTTTCAATATTGTATGGGGCCCAGGCTCTGCTTATGGCAAGTCCTGCAGGGTTGTGTGCTGTGAGTCCTGGGTGTAGCTGTTTCAATATTGTATGGGGCCCAAGCTCTGCTTATGGCAAGTCCTGCAGGGTTGTGTGCTGGGAGTCCTGGGTGTAGCTGTTTCAATATTGTATGGGGCCCAGGCTCTGATTGGCCTTAAATTCTAGGCAGTTTTTCTTTTTAAAGAATAACCTTAATTTGTGTATTTTTATTATTATTTTTTTTCTTTCAATAAATTGTTAATATGAGAATGCATGGAAACGTTGAGTATTAATGTGTATTATTATTATTTGTCCCAGACCACAATGCCCGGCATGAAGAGAGATTGCGGTGGAGCTGCTGCTGTTCTGGGGGCTTTCAAGGTTGCAGTTAAACAGGTTAGTAGTGTAGCACTTATTGGAATGAGTTATTGCAGTTAAACAGGTTAGTGGTGTTGCACTTATTGGGGTGAGTATGGGGCACTGCAGATTTTAATAACTCACATGTTATGTTTTTGCTGTGCCAGGATAGCTTGGCATAGTATTTAAATTTAAAATATAAAAGTTTAGCTCTTCTTCTAACCAGCAAACTGTTGGCTATCTGGTTGTGCTAACGTTTGATGTATATATATTTTTTTTTTTATGTCTCTTTTTTTTTTTAGGGATTTAAGGACAATCTTCACGCCCTGTTCTGTTTGGCAGAGAACTCTGTTGGTCCTAATGCAACACGGCCTGATGATATTCACACGCTGTACTCAGGAAAGTAAGAACCTGCTGTCTGTCTCTGATTTATGTTATTCCAGTATGAGACATCTGGAGTGAAGGGTCTTATTCAAGAAAATAGAAACATAGAATGTGACAGCAGATAAGAACCATTCGGCCCATCTAGTCTGCCCAATATTTCAAAATACTTTCAAAATGACTTGCCGAGACAGGGCAGCAGAAATTAGATGAGCTGGTGGCAGAAAGGCCGTAGTGATATCACTGCTAACAAGTTCACATGGTGAGAGCTTTGGTAATTGTATTGGTGGGATTTATGTCTTCATTCAGAAGACCCTCTTTATCTCTGTGCTTGTTAACTAATACCCCTGGGTGAAAGGGAGAATCCCCAGTCCTTGCAGGATGGTGCCCACCCTAATAATGGAAGGTTTTTGGCTTTGTGCCTGCTCCCCCCCCTCCTTACTCCCTTTGGAAAGTCTGTCAAATAACATAAAGTTTGCTCCAAACTGTAGAACGGTTGAAATAAATAACACCGACGCAGAAGGCAGATTGGTGCTCGCGGATGGAGTTTCCTACGCTTGCAAGGACCTGGGTGCGGAAATCGTTCTTGACATAGCGACGCTGACTGGCGCGCAGGTACTGGGCAGGGACCAGGGAGGGATCTTTAATGCTGCTGCTTGTATCCTGCACTATATTGAGATGTGAACACGTTCTCTCAGGGTATTGCGACTGGCAAGTACCACGCAGCCGTACTGACAAACAGCGAGGAATGGGAGAATGCCTGCGTGAAGGCAGGCAGGAAGTGCGGAGACTTGGTTCACCCGCTGGTCTACTGCCCTGAGCTTCACTTCAATGAGTTCTCCTCTGCCATGGCGGACATGAAGAATTCTGTTGCGGTGAGTGTAGTTATGCTTTGCCAACCAACGTGGGAGTTAGGTGGGATTCTGTCTGTAACATGACCCCGTCTAATTCTTGACTTCACTTTGACAACAGATTTCCATGTGTTGTGTACGCTAAATATATATGTCTCCACTATTATAATAAGAATCTCACTGCAGGTACAGACTGCTAAGTCAGTCTAGTCTGCAGACACTGCTTGGTTAGTGAGGGGGTGCACACAGTCTGCCTGCAGACACTGCTTGGTTAGTGAGGGGGTGCACACAGTCTGCCTGCAGACACTGCTTGGTTAGTGAGGGGGTGCACACAGTCTGCCTGCAGACACTGCTTGGTTAGTGAGGGGGTGCACACAGTCTGCCTGCAGACACTGCTTGGTTAGTGAGGGGGTGCACACAGTCTGCCTGCAGACACTGCTTGGTTAGTGAGGGGGTGCACACAGTCTGCCTGCAGTGAGGGGGTGCACTGCCTTGCTTGGTTAGTGAGGGGGTGCACACAGTCTGCCTGCAGACACTGCTTGGTTAGTGAGGGGGTGCACACAGTCTGCCTGCAGACACTGCTTGGTTAGTGAGGGGGTGCACACAGTCTGCCTGCAGACACTGCTTGGTTAGTGAGGGGGTGCACACAGTCTTCCTGCACTGCTTGGTTAGTGAGGGGGTGCACACAGTCTGCCTGCAGACACTGCTTGGTTAGTGAGGGGGTGCACACAGTCTGCCTGCAGACACTGCTTGGTTAGTGAGGGGGTGCACACAGTCTGCCTGCAGACACTGCTTGGTTAGTGAGGGGGTGCACACAGTCTGCCTGCACTGCTTGGTTAGTGAGGGGGATGCACACAGTCTGTCAGCAAGCTAAAATCTGTTGCAGAACTTTGATTTTATAGGGACGCTATAGGCACCTAGACCACTTCAGCTTTAGATGGCTGGGGGGGAGCTATATAATAAAAGTTGCTTTAACTTAAAAAAGGAATTTCTTATTTTTATCAAAACCCCATAATACGTAGTAGTTCTTATAGTTATAGAATATAAATGCAAGTAAGGCTTGTATTTTCTTGGAATCCCTGACCCCTAGTCTGGCTGCAATCTGTTTTCTTTGAACCCCTTTGTAATCGTTCACTGTAAGGATTAGACCATAGCTTGGTTTCCTCTGTAGTAAGTGACTCGGCTAGGTTTGTAACTCTGCTCTTGTACCTGTAGGATCGCGAGAACGCACAGAGCTCTTGCGCTGGACTATTCATTGCTTCTCACATTGGGTTTGACTGGCCAGGCGTGTGGGTCCATGTTGATATTGCTTCTCCAGTTCACACTGTAAGTACAAGGTCATCTTGAGGGCTAGTTTTCAATGTTTTTTTGATTGGGATTTTATTTATTACATAACACACAGAAACAAGGATTGCATTCTCAATCACTATATTTCTACAATTTACCATCCCATAATTCCAGTGGCTTCCTTCATATTAGCAGTACCCTGACTTCCAAAGATGCCTGAGTCCTCCACCAGTCCTTACTTTAATTAAAAAGTAAATTAGACCATAAAGAGCCAATGCCATGCCAGGAATGGAATAATTTAAAGGATTTGGCTCCATAATAGGGGAAGGGCACAGACATTGATTTTATACTACAATCACATCATAAATGGTTTATAGTTTTATCTTGGCTAGCTCCATTACTAGATATCTTTTTGCTTTAATCACATTGAACCCACTCTGTCCCTGCAGGGTGAGAGAGCCACTGGTTATGGGGTGGCACTGCTGCTCTCCCTCTTCGGGCGTGCTTCAGAGGACCCCCTGCTTTATACCGTGTCTCCCTTGGGCGAGGATGATGAAGAAGAAAACCTTCAGAGAGATTCCAAAAGAAGACGCCTTGTGTGATTGGCTAGCTCGTCTGCCAGTGAACCCAATTCATCATGTAATCCAATCAGTTCTGTTTTCTCCAAATCTTATGCGCAAACCGTGCTTCTTATTCAGACCAGTGTATAACCTCTGACCACTAATTATGTTTTTTTTGCCATTTTTATATGGTGTGATCTTCTCATTATTGCTTTCTCCTAGACAGTGCAAGACTTTGTGTTTAACGTGTCCCTCCTCTTACCCTGGAGAGAGCCTGCTTCCTTGTCTGTGTCCCTTCAGATGGCAGCTCCCCAGCACCCCAATTAGTTTCTTCAACCTTTCTATGGCTCAAAATGTAATTAAAGCGGTTTGCATTCCTTGGTTTTAGAGTCTGTGTTTTTAAATGGGAGGGGTTTAAGCGATCAGGGAGGGGGATGGGGGGGAGGGGGAATAAGAAAATGTTGTCTGAGCTAGAGTTTTGTCCACACTGGATATAATTTATTACAATTTATTGTGTGATAATTTTATACAATTCAGTGTAAGCTGGGTTTTATTAATGTACAGTAAGAAAGATTGTGGCTGCATAAATACACCTTTGCAGGCCAGGTCCATGTCTTTAACTCAGAGTTGAAGGCATCTTCAAGAGTGTTCTCATTTTTGTGGTGGAGATGGGAAGGCATTGGATAAACCTTAGAGCCCAATGTTCAGAAGGCTTTTGTTTCATTATCTTAATGCTCCTCCTTCTCCCTGGTCCATTTAATCATGGTTTCAGGAGAGCGGTACAGGAAGATCAGTTTTGCAAAGAGTTGCTCCTCCAGGTCCAAATCTCCAGTCTCTCTGACGAGGAAGATGTCCGTACAAAGCTTTAGGATGCGATCTACATTGGGCAGCTCTTCAAACATGATGGAGCGGGAAATCCCGTTAAAGAATTCTCTGATGAATTTCCCAATAACCAGGACTACAGACATATAGAGACCAACAATGCTGTAAGACAAATAAAAATGTGTAAACGGAAACTGGCTGTAAAAAGACAAGGTGTGCAGATTGCACCTACTCCTACAGGAGTACCGGTTTTCAGGATGTTGTTGCACTATAACTCTCACCAGCCAGAGAATGATTAATGAAATAACCATACACAACATCTTAAGTATCCCTAGTGGTGACTCTCGGAACAATACATGGTTTGGAGGGGCATATAAGATGTCAGTTAAAACTGGGGAGGGCTATAACCCCACTAAACCATAATGCTGAAAATAAATATAAATATATACATATTCAGAAGTGACAAGTACCATATTTATAATATACAAATCAGAATAAAAACAGTACAATTGGGCTTATTCAAAGAGCGCAGTTGTTTGCGAAAGATGCAAACAACTGCAAATTCTCCACTGTTGGCATCAGCAGCAATCTTTTTTGGAGGTGATAATTACATCACAATAGTTACAAAGCTGAAAAAAGACTTGCGTCCATCAAGTTCAGCCTTCCTCACATATGTTTTTGCTGTTGATCCAAAAGAAGGCAAAAAAACCCAGTCTGAAGGGCTTCCAATTTTGCAACAAAGTAGGGAAAAAATCCTTTGTGACCCCAAAATGTCAGTCAGATATCTACTTTTATCATGCAGCTTTTACCCCACTAATTAGTAAATATATTCCTGTATGTTATGATTTTGGACGTATTTATCCAATCTCTGTTTAAACATCTGTATGGACTTTGATAAAACCACCTCTTCAGGCGGAGAATTCCATATCCTTATTGCTCTTACTGTAAAAAAAAAAAACCTTTCCTTTGCCTTAGATGAAATCTCCTTTCTTCCAGTCTAAATGTGTGACCTCGTGTCCTATGTATAGCCCTGTTTATGAATAGATTTCCAGATAAAGGTTTGTACTGGCCCCGAATATATTTGGATAATGTTATCATATCCCCTCAGGCGCTGTTTTTCCAAACTAAAGCAGTTTAAATTTGTTAACCTTTCTTCGTAACTAAAATGCTCCATAAAGACTTACTTGGATGAGTCACAAAATATTAGCAATTTTGTCTTGAATAATTCTCCTGTTTTTGAACTAAGTAAAGACTTGTTAGTAGGAAAGTGAATCAAGAGCCTTGTCTTATTAATCATTTACTTGTATCGGACGATCTAGCATACACATCATGAGCAACAGCAACAACAAACTTCAGCATTTCAAAAAGAGAAACGAACGGCGGCAGGAGAAGTTTCTGCTGATGGTTGGATTTCCCTTTTTTGTGAAAGTTTGTCGCCATTGCACAAATTGTAGGGGTCCGTTGTGCACTGTAACAACTGATCTCTTTATGCTCCAGGCACTGCTGATACACATTTGTTCCCTTCTGTCCCCCCTTTGCTACGCCTCTGCATACACACATAGACAGCCTAAAGCATACACATGCACACACACTTCCTAACACACAAACTGATTATATATACACACACAGACTAATACATACAAACACTTACACAAACTGCCTACTGTGTGCACAAATTCACACAGACTGCCTAATACATACATACAAACACATGCACAAATTCACACACACACAGACTGCTTATTGCATATAAATACACACTTTTTAATATACAAACACACACAGCAAGCAGCCCTCTCTCATCCCTTACATACTCAGAGGGGGCTGAGGGAAATGGAAGCAGCCAAATTCATACAGCGTGGTACCTGCTCTCTATCTCAGTAGATCTTGGTTTTTCAGGCTTCCCATTGATGGATGTCATCCAGGCGCAGTGAAGGGGGTGGTAGCATGTGGATGCTGCGCCCTTGCGCTGCCCTGCACATTGAGATATCCTGGAGTGTGAAGCCAGGCGGGTGCAAGATCAGTAGTGTAATTGTTGCTCCTGCTTGCATCCGACAGCGTGACCGAATACACATGTGGCCAGAATATGCTTGGGGGCGTCCTGCTAGTATATCCCCTCTTAACAGCCCCAGCACCTAATTTAGCCAACGCTGGCAAGTTTGGTGGGCACACGTGGGCAAGGAATAATCTAGGGTGGGCAATAGCCCTCCTCTAGAAATGCCTATGGGTATCCCCACAGCCCTCTAAAGATCCCCAAACTAGAGCGGCATTTAATGTAACAGGGAGCTGCTCTGTAATGATCCTGTGCTGTGGTTTTCACCAGTACCATTCCAGTATAACTCAAGTGACCCTTGCCATTTAGC